ACACAGTAACTAAATTAATTGATACTAGCTTGCTTTGCCATCGGCTGCAGGGTTGTTCACCCTTCCACACGTTTAAGACTGGAAGACGATAGTCTGTCTGGATGCCTACATCGCACACCACGCTGGTCATGGCTCTTTGCGAGGACAAAATCGAGAACTGGATACCGACGTTAGCAAACGAGCCGCCATGTTGTCTCTTTGCGCTTTGCGTTAACGAGCCACAGCCAGATTTTAAACGGCATGAGTAAAAATAAATTGTTTTGAATGCATTTTCCTATCCTTTTGTCTGCGAACCAGTTTTAATTTTAAATGGATCATCAATTGCGTGCCTCATAATCTTTAAGCTGCAAATGAGTACATCATATGGTATAATGATATTATAATAATAATTACAGTGCAAAATCTGAAGAAATAATAGGTTTGGTAATATATTCTTACTCTCTAAGTAAAATTTTAATCCCCTAGGGTACTAAACAGAATCGTTTTGCATAACCATAAGCTACTCCATCAAGTTCCCAAGCGTAATTTGCGTGCAAGTAATGGCGTATAATATCTTGCGAGTTTATACATTCGTAACTCTCTGATTTTATTGAAATGTGCTCAGACACGCATGCGTTAATTTCGTATTTCATGGGGGCACTTTAGTCTGGAGACGCTTTCCGTTGCTTCTGAGGTCTTGCCGACCTTCATTTCTTCGCCTAAATCACAGTGGATAACTTAAATGAATTTGCGTATGCATGAACCATCACTAAGAAGTGCGCCATATCGCTTAGGAGCCATCTGCATTTGGAATAATGCTTTACACTTAAAAGTTTATTTTTAAATTAACTGACGCGTCGTTTACGAAATGGGCATTCATTCAGTGTTCCTCAGCCGCTAGCCTGAAAATAAGCTGGTCAAACCTCATTGGTCGACGTAGGGAAATGTGAAAGATCGATACCGCCCTATTTAAAATAAGTGCCATATTTCACAGATCCGAAAATGAACAAGCGATTTGCGGAATATCTCACGGAATCAAAGGAAAAGGAACTCCGTGATATTGCCAATGCAATATGTCATCCCGGAAAAGGCATTCTTGCTGCGGATGAAAGTGTTTGTAACTGCATATGCTAGTTTTTCGTAAACTTCCCGAATTTAGCTACAATTGGAAAGCGTTTCAAGAGCATAAACTTGGAAAACACGGAAGAAAATCGCCGTCGGTATCGGGAACTGTTATTCTCTACCGACCCTTCTCTCGCAAACTATATTTCAGGGGTTATCCTCTTTCATGACACGGTATTTCAGAAAACCTCCGACAAGAAGCCTATGCTGAGCCTTTTGAAGGTATGTGATGTTTGCCTATTATAATCTTTCTGTGTACTATAATTTAAAACTGTGAACCATCGTACAAATGCAAGAGGTGGTTTAAGAAAGTTTATTCATGTTTGTCAAATACTAGTGATGAGGTAAACAAGGCTCTAAGAGTTGATTGCTTGGTCATAATTTTCACAGAACTTTCTACGTAACCCCCTTCTACGCTTTTTGATCATCTTTACCAACGTAAAAGCTTCAGAAACATACTTATCTTAATGTCGCAAAACAAGCACAAGAAAAAATTATTTTGCCTTCATCTTAATATAATGGCAAGTTTCTAATATGTAGGTCTACGAAAATAATAGAACACAGGCACTACTGTCAAACAAGAAGAGGGAAAATATTAGTTTTATGAGTACGGCAGATGAATGAGCTAAGTAACGGAGTCTGTGAAAGGCACTTAGGATGCCCACATTTCTAGCATACGTTTATGCCATTACTGGACCAGTGCTGGATCAGTGCTGGACCAGACGCATAATATAAAATATGGAAATGGACGTCGATTTAAACGAGATCCACAATCTTCTCACCAACAAGGTAGTGCAGGGTCAGTGTCTTGCACTGGATTAAAGCGAAAGTAGACTTTCGATGCACCTACCTCACTCTCTCCTCCCCCACCCACCTGGGTTCGGTTTCAAGCCATCGTCAAGAAAACGGGAAGCGGGATCGGGCGCAAGGCCAGCCCTCCAATGTGTACCACCACAACTATGATGCGAGAGTGCCATAAACCAAACAGTAATCAAGGCCCTTCCCCTAATCCCAGTATTTTTCCTACTCTTTATCATACTCCTAACCCTTCTTTATCCACCAAGCATTTATTAAGCCCAGGCAAAGAAGAAGGCCTAATATAAGCTGCCTAACTACATCAAATAAGCAGGCATCTTATTATACAACCACAGGCTCGGGGAATTATTCCTGGCATCAAAGTGGACACCGGCGTGGTCCCTCTGGCCGGCACCTTCGACGAAGGTACTACTCAGGGCCTGGACGGCTTAGCTGAACGATGTGCCACTTACAAGAGGGAGGGTTGCGACTTTGCCAAATGGCGTTGCGTGCTTAAGATATCTGAAAGAACACCATCATACCAAGCTATGATGGAGAACGCAAACGTACTGGCACGATATGCTGTCATTTGCCAACAGGTATCGCCATTTGTTTTTCAAATATTCCTACTGCAATTTATATTCCAACATGGTTATTGTACTCGAATTGATTCTTCTTGCAGCATGGCATTGTGCCGATTGTGGAACCCGAAGTGCTACCCGACGGAAAGCATGATCTTTACGTCGCTCAACGCGTCACTGAGGAGGTCCTTTCATTCCAGTACAAGGCCCTTGCCGATCACCATGTGTACCTTGAGGGCTCCTTGCTGAAACCAAATATGGTCACTGCCGGACACTCCTGTCCTCAGAAGTACAGCATTGAACAAAATGCTGTTGCCACAGTTCAGGCCCTCCAGCGCACAGTTCCTGCAGCCGTACCAGGTAATGAATTTTACATTAAGGAAACGAAAGTATGGTATAGTCATACACATGCAAGTAGATAAGAATACTCGGAAGAGTGTAAGTAATAAACAGATTGTCTTATGTAGTGTACAAATCATAGTGGGTAGTTAATTTGCACTTACTACAAGCTATCAACAGTTAGCCATATTAACTTTCTAGTTATAAGAAAATAGGCTATTTTTTAAAGGCTCACACTATATAAACATGATCACATGATTTTTCGTTAGAAAAAGCATTTTGAGGGGCCACCCAAAGACCACTAAGTCGTTAATTCGCCATCTGTTGAGATCCTATCCAAACTTTTCCCCTCACTATTTCATTTTGCTGACTTCGGCAGCGTCTTCTATGCTATAGATTAGACCCCAGCCTATTTCGATTTCCCTCCCTGAAGCATCCTGATTGGTCGTCTGCCTGTCATTGCCAACGAGCAGTGCCTCATCTTGAGTCTTCTGTATATGACCTTTATCCTCTCAGTTGGATTGTTTGACTCGAAGTACTCAATGAAAAAGTGACCCGGATGAAAATCTCGGACAAAAAACCTAATCTGGAATATCAGAGAGCCATCGGCAAAATAAATGAACTCATTTCTGTGTTACTTGCCTTTTTTCCTTAAACACTGATTATCCACACTCAGCCGGAGATAAAAGACAACCTGCACTTGAATGAACCGTCTGTTTTATTTTCAGGTGTGGTGTTCCTCTCAGGTGGTCAGTCTGAGGTTGACGCCACGCGGAACCTCAATGCTATCAACCAGGTGAACGCCAAAAAGCCTTGGGCCCTAACATTCAGTTTTGGGCGAGCTCTTCAGGCCTCGGTCATCCAGGTTTGGCAAGGGAAGGAAGCCAATATTCAAGCTGCACAAGCTGAACTTATTAAGCTTGCTAAGGTAACCTAACACAGACAGACGTAGGCGTTTTAAGATAAAACTGGTTAATCGGTCAAAAGTCAACCAACCGATCTTTCTTAAATTTATTGCAGGCCAACGGAGCGGCTGCATTGGGCAAATTTGACGGAAAGTTGGAGGTCGCTTCCGGAGGCAAATCACTTTTCGTGGCAAACCATGCCTACTAGAAAGAAGCGGTCCATCGGCGAAGAACCCTCATCTGAAATTTTTAGCCAGACTACATGTTCCTTGTGTAATAAATTTTTGGTAGGCTCTAGGGCTGAGCTGACATCTTGTTCTCTTTTTTTGCACTTTACGGGGTAAACAACACGGCAAGCATATCTTTAGATACCATTGGCAGGTAGCCATTTAAGAATTGAAAGTATACTTGACTGAAAGAAGCTATTGGAGTTCTAGATGTAGTTGTAGAGCTTTGAGATGCCTGGCAGCCTTTATCGTTAATGTGCACCGAATCTGCCTATAAAATGGCCATATTATATTAAAATAAGAAGTTCATGAGAGCAGCTGGTAAGCAGTGGTAAACTTGCGATAAATTGTCATCGGGCTATTACATTTATATGGGAACGGGGTGAAAGGTAAACATACGATCAATTACATTCCTCATTACGTGCAAATGAGTCATGAGAATAGGGGAGGGGTGGTTGGGGGTGAATCATGGGTGACTAGTTACGTGGCAGAGGGCTCGTTTAAACCGAGCCAAAAGGAGGGGAGGAGAGAGAGGAGGCGTGGAAAACTGCATGCAGTTCAGTGACCGCTGGCCATGCCAAGCGCGCAGCTTACAGGAGGTTCTTTTGTGCGTACAATACAAAGTGAGCTAGCAGTTACAGGTCCGTGACGGATCTTGAAACGTCGGGCGAATAAAAATATTGTCCCAGCGATCGAATCACCTTTTTCTGAACAAGTAGTGTACGACCAAGCGGTCGTTAAAGGTGACGATCTTCCTTTATTTAAAAGACAATTACATGCGTAAGTAGAACCGAAGGCTGCCTGTGCTTGGAGCTGCGCATGAAATAGTTTTTTTTTACATGATGCGGTCTTGCCCGAAGATTGCTACAGTTTCACGAATTAACCTCTAATCAGAGCAGCAGACTCAAAACGCTAATTCGGATCAGTGAATGTTGAAAGGAAGAGGCAGTCTACGCTTGAAACACAGTTCCAAAAGAAGTAGAAATTACCCACAGGGCAAAAATTCAGGGACAAAATGCAACTGCCAACTATCTTTTTCGTTTTTACGGATAAAAAATTAAATATCAGTCATACTTTTGGCCAAAAACACCAGCGAAACGGCTGAAGAAAGGGGTACGAACAAAACCAAGAGATACGGGCATTGCCATTTCTGAATTACAGTTCGTCTTCAGCAGGCTATATCCCAAAGTCAGTGTTGCCAATGTCCTTTCCTGTATCATCTCTAATTGCTGTGCGACGGCCTTGAGGGCCCCAGCTTGACCTTGAAGGTACAATGGGATGCTTATATTCACGTTCATCATCAGTGGACGATCCTTGCACGATAAGTTTTTATCCGGTGGCAATAAAGGTCGGACGACCACAATGCCATGCCAGGGCATTTCAAGGCAATCGCATAATCCAATTTACGCAGGCAGGGTTCCCCTCGCAGGCTTTCATGTAAGAACGAGTTCTGAATTCATTGCATGCAGTCTAGTAGGCTGACGTCATTTATAGAGTATACCCATTCCGCACACTAGTCTGGGCGCAAACTGCGACGGTTCAACCAGCCAAGTCAATCAAAAAATAAACAGCGAGACCTGATCTTCTGGATTGAAGAAAACCAGGACGTCCAAACCATCTCATCTGCGCTTCAACCCAGTGGCTTACTTTAGCCTTGCAGATGGCCTCCTGACTGCAACTGATCCAGTGTACAAGGAAAGCGGTGTTTTTATTCATTTAATAGATACCCACTGTTTCCGGGGAGTGGCTTTATCACTTTCGGGGGTCATAAATCTTCTATAAGTAGCCATAATTGCTTGATGGCAGTTTATCACCGACTCTTTTCTCGAATCCATTGTTTCTCCCTGGGGCTATCGGTCACAAAAAACAACAAAAATAGGATAAACTTCATGCTTACTCGGTGTCCTGTCTCACTACATTCAAATATGTTTTAGCCATCGCCGAGATTGTTGCCACAATCAAGCAAGCTGGTAAAGTCGGGGTATAGACGACCAGTCAGCCCTCTGACCAACCTTCGGGCTCACAGTCAAAGTAAGCCGATGACTATACTCTGGTCAATTTCGGACTATTCTTACCTTCCCATTCTTGGAAGCTTTCCGACCTGACCGACCCATCGTTGGGGACTGACAAAGTAACAGTCACTAATCGCAGTAAAAGCCAAGGGCTTGCCCAACTCATGTAGGTCACGTTGTCTCGCTCAAATCAGGCAGAGCTAAAACACATTTCAGCTCGACATCAATTGTAACCGCACAGTTATGAGGGATTCTTCTTGATTTGCGTCCTCCAAAAACGGCTACCGAACTCTGCACTCAGTGATAGTTCTCTGCTGGCATGCGATTGCAGGCAAACAAGTGTTTACAACTCTCAACCTGCTTTGCATAAAATATCCACTGAACCCAGTGGCATACACAAAATGGCCGTCAGCACTCCTTTCGGACTAAGCGTATTCACTCGTCTACCCTTTGACTGGAGGGATGCTGACCCGAATTGCAAACCCTTCATCGGCCCAATGCTGAATTGACGCCAAGTTTCTTGTCTTCCTGAGAATTTTAAGTTGAATAAAACCGATGCACTACGCTAGTCTTGCCCTCTGATTATCCGAATGTGATTCATCACTATATTCTAATTGGTACATGGGCATTCATGTGCCCTTATCCATTGCCGCTAAAATCTTTTTCTATGAGCAATCGCTAATTGGTAGCCCAGGTGTGCCCCGGCCAAAGAAACTTCAAAGCTTTGCGGTTCAGGTTCAAGCACCAGTAAATAGTAGCCGGCATCAATTGCATGTGTCATTATATCGCCGTTTCTTCCTTCATGGCAGGGGCATTTGAGGGCCTTCTAAAACCTTTCTAAACCAGCGCAGTAAGACGCATATGCTTACCAAATTGGCTTCAAGGTTATTTAGTGATGTCAAGACAACTCCGTCTCCAATCCCTTTATTGAGTATCAACCTACTCTAAGGAAAAATTGCTTCAAAGGAGTCAGCCCTGCCAGCCTCAGGCCAGCGGAACTCAATTTTTTTCAACTATGCGTGTCGGCACGTATTTGGCTTTTCTTTATTTGGCGCTCAATTTAAGATGGCGAAATGCATATTCTAGCCCAACACAAATTTCTTGATCTATCCTCGAAATGATCAGAATCGTTACACGGGATGTAACATACCCCGCCTCTGCTTCATCACACAGTCAGTCTGTTAGAAATAGCATTCAACTGTGAGATGGAAACGTTACAAAAGAAGTATTTTTATGCGTTGAGCTAGACGCTCTCTTGCTGACGAAACGTCTGAACCGAACCGTGCGGCATTGGACCTTTCCTGGTTACCTTCGCCGTTGCTCTGAATTTTACTGTAGCACCGCAAATGCTAACGTGAACGCGGCGGCTAACTACTCCGAAACTCATTTAGCAAAATGCATAATTTGGTTTCTTCTCAAGCTGCATCTAGCTATCGAATATTCATGTATGTCGGTTGTTTTCGATATGACTGTTACAACTACTTAACAATTTAATGACAGTTCACAACCTCTTCTAATCCATAACCATACAAATGTTAGAGTGAGAATGTACATGATATCTGTAAGATTTATCCCGGCTCAGATGAAGCGGGCCAAAGAGAAAAATCTGAAATATCGGAAGATGGGGTGACTATTCCGAGATATCATAGGGCTTCTTATATAAAATAAATAGGCTACAAAGTTGCATTTTTTGATTAAATTCGAGCTCGAAGCAATTTCTGCATTAATAGTGATTTATTTTAAGATAGAAAGTTTCAGCTGGAATGGAAATGCCTCTTCGTGAAATATATCTATGTGTACAACAGAGCAAACAATTGTTACTTTAACATATGCTTTAACAAATAGTCCCATCTAGAATATTCGCTTAATGCTAGAATGCACAATACATTTATTGAAGTAATTGTCTAGGGGACAGAACATACAGCCACCTAGGGGTGTCATGCATAGAAACGGATAACAACTGGCCAAAAGCTTCTTGTACAAATAATCAATAATGATAATAGATAATTTAAAGGGTTATTGTTAGAAATATTCTTAAGTCCAATATTTCTCAAATAATTCCATACACACAAACGAAAAAAAATGTGAATCGTCACTAATATAAGGATAGCCCATTTAACTCAGTTTATAATAAAAGTGCACTGTGATAGCTTCGTGCAAATGCGACAAGCTCGAAAACATACGCTGTAAAATAAGAATGGCATATGTATTTCACTGATTTAGGGCGTCCAGCTAAGATTAATGCTTTAATAAATGTAAATTTAACCATATTTTTCTAAACCCAGATAAATCTTATAAAAATTCATTTGTCTAATTTGCATTATGTGCATACTGACAGATTGCAATTAGATAAGTCAACCACGGCTATGGCAATGCATTGGATTGAGTGCAGACAGTGTGGGAGGTAAAATAAAGGTATTTACAAAAAAGAAAAGCTTCTAGCAGGAAAGAGATACTAGTAGCGATTTAATGCAACAGCGCATACGTTTTTTTAAATTGAATAGATTCACAAAAAACGGTGCCCACCCAACTGACTTAAATGGTCTGTGCACCTATGTTTCAGCAAATCTTTTCGGCTAAGTATAGCAATACCTACTTTTCTTTCAGCG